TATAGTGTATGATCACACTCAATCGTCAACAGATTATGATCAAAAAAATCCACGACAATAAACATGAATTTTGACTTATATGTTGCAATTAAATACACAAATATTCCTAATGAAAGATGGAATGCACAATTTTCTTTATCATGTTCGAATATTTGTAATTAATACATACCAAACGTCGAATATTTGTAATTAATACATACCAAACGTCGCATAATTAATACAAAATGCGATAAAGTGGTCCAATGTTTATAAAAGGTGTGCCTCTATTTCTTTTTCTTTTCTCTCTTGTACTCAATTTACTCCCAATTATTTTCATGTTTATTTCCTAATTTTATTTTCTGACAACCTAAAAATTTCACTCAAATTTCATGGAAGAAAATATTATATCATGAAAATTATTTATAATTTCCTTTTAAATTTATAAAATTTTGCAATTTTGTTCCCAATATCACCCAAAGTTTATGAATTTCTTTTATTATAAATGGCATTTTAAATTCTTTTTAAATTTTTGAAATTTTATAATTTCATTTTCAGCTCATAAATTGTCGATTTCAAACGTTTCCGTAGTTATAACTCAAAATTCATGTATTTCATTTTTTACATCCAAACACTACACGACATAGTTTTCAAGAATCACTTGTCAATGCAACCAGAGTGCTGCTACTAAAAAAAAATGGTCAAGTAATAAATTCAAAAATACTATATGTAACATATAAATGTAAGAGTAAAATAGTAACTACGCTGCATAAACTAACGGTGCTAGAGAGTTGAGGGTTTACGGTTAAGTTGAGGGGTCAATTTGTCGTATTTCATAATCCAGGGGTATATGTGATATTGATAGTACAATAGTGCAATATGTATTTAACGATTTGTTCGATGCTACACCCGGTGTTTTTCACCGGGTGTAGCATCGAAGGAACCGTATTTAACCCCACTTAAAAACAAATATTTGCATACGTGTCTAATGTTTATTGGTTGTGATTTGTTACCTAATTATTACGTGTCTCTAACCTATATAAACGGCGACAGGCTAGCTGGCTCTGTTGTCACTTTTCTTCTTCACATCCCACACACACCGTCGGCGGCGGCCGGAGATCGGACACGCGTTTTTCCGGTGGAAAATTACGGACCAAAAGAAGCACAATATCAAGCAATAGTATGAAGATTTTCGTGAAGACTCTGAAGGGCACGCACTTCGAGATCGAAGTGAAACCCGAAGACACCGTAAGGATTCCCCATTTCACCTTTTTTTTCACTCTCTCTGTACATCTTATCTGCATTTGTTTTTTTTCTCATGTGTTTGAATTGGATTGCTTAAACGTAGTGAATGGAGTGTGATTAGGGTTTATCAATTGTCCCGTTTTCGGTGTTCGTTGAGATTTCTCTCTCTCTCTCTCTCTCTCTCTCTCTCTCTCTCTCTCTCTCTCGAATTTGTTATTATACCAATTGGAGTTAATTTTTTCCTTTCAGAAAGGCAATTTCATTCTGCCTGGGAATTTGAATGTGAAATTTTCTAATTGGTAGATAGTGTAGAATGTATGTATCATATGTTGGAGTTATTATACCATTTAGTGCTGCTTAAAATTTCTTGTATATTGTCCAAACTTTAAAGCAATTGATATTAGTTCTTGAATTTCTGAAGAGTAAGAATGAGGGAAAAACTGGTGCCGACTGCTTTCGGTCTTTGGTTAACTATAATTTTTTTGCCGTATCATTCGTAGATTGTTGATTTCACAAGCATGCAATAAAAAATAAATAAAAAAGCATAGGGTATGAGATGATGAAGAGGTGCGTTTAAAATCAAAATCGGTTGTAGCTTTGCACCCTAGTCATAGTGTTTGGTTTGAAATATTTCATTAGTCCCAAAAATATATCATAGATAACCTTTGGAAGAAATTATCGTATACTTCACCAATTCCATAGTTAAAATGTTTGTTTCATAGACTTACTTTTTGATAATCTTAACCGGAATATTTGCAGATTGCTTCAACGAAAAAATCTTTATGGATCTTGTATGATACTTGACTCATTTTCTTATTGCATTTCGGAACCCGTAAATCTGGCCTGTGAATGCACCAGTCTCATTTAATTCAATTTTGTTTTCCTGGAAGATATCTTTTCTATTTGATGTTCTTCAGCCATTTTTAAATGTAATTTTTCATCCCCAATTAAATACTTCTGTTTTCGTTACGGATTGCTCAAAGCAGTATCTTACTTTTGTAACGATTAATCCAAATCATAATTTGATACCACTGAATCACGACAATATTATCGGCAGGTAAAAAATAAAGATACCAGAAACTTCGTGTTTCAACTCTTATCCATACTTATTTTGGTCCCATGTATCAAATAAATAGTCTGCATGTAGTTCTTTTAGATTTGCCTGCCCGTGGATTTGTGCAGAACTACTTACTAGCTCTCTTGAAGAGGAGTAGTCAGAACGATTCCATATTCATCTATCTGCCATTTTTTTAATCTAATTTAAATATATATTATTTTTAAGTACTCTCATCATCTATCTTGATTATTTTAGGTCGCAGATGTGAAGAAGAATGTAGAAACTGTTCAGGGATCTGATGTTTACCCAGCTGCTCAACAGATGCTTATCCATCAAGGGAAAGTTCTGAAGGATGAAACCACTCTTGAGGAGAACAAAGTCGCCGAAAAAAGTTTTGTCGTGGTTATGTTGTCCAAGGTAATATGCTGTCTTGTCATCTTGAAAATGTGCTTCTCCTACCATTTTCTTCTAAGTGATTTTTTATTGAATGAAGATTGTGTCGATAATAATTTGCAATTTGGACAAGGTGTTAAAATGTGCCTCACATTAACAGAAATATATGATGGCAGGAAAATACCTATATCACCTGATGTGAAATAGTATATAATCCCGACTTGCTTTATCATTCCTTGGCTTATGTCCATCCTCAAGCAGATAAATGTTTCTTACACTGACCAAAAAAAAAAACATAATGTAGATCCAGCATATTTTTATGTTGCTGACTGTGTCTGCATTGTGAAACTCTTGTAGAACAAAGCCTCGTCAAGTGGAACTGCATCGGCTGCACCATCGAGTAAGGTGAGCCCTTTTGATATGCTTGTAACAATCTGAGTTCAGGCAAACAAAATTAGAGAAATAAATTAGGAAAGAAGAAGAAAAAATGGGAAGTCCTGCCTTTTATCAAATTGTAATAAACCCTTAGGTATACTATGTATGTCCGAAGCATATTTATTCCCAAAAGTTCTACTTCCTGATTCTGATAATTTTCTCGATGGCAATGATTATATGTCATACATTCAGTTTCAGTGAGGCAGTTCTTTCTATGCTGGCTTACTTATTGCATTATTATATACATCTACTTTAGTCTTGGCAAAGTACAATATGTGGATGCAGTGTGTGCCCGTTCGCTTTTGTACTTAACTAAACCAGCTATGGTTGCACATGATGAAAGCTGCTTGGAGGACTTTGCAGCATATAATTAATTTTTTTTCCTTGACGAGAAGGCGTATTTTATGAATATAGACCTCTTTTACTGTTAGATCTCAAAAAATTATTTTCTAAAGGATTCATTAACTTCTATTTGATTGCCATCAGAAGCTAAACTTTATCCAATCATTGTATGTGTGCTTTCAAATTGGCATCTGTGTATAAATGTTTCTTTTAGGATTAGTAGATTAGGTGTAAGATATTGATCTTGAGATTTATATTGTAAATTATGTGTATTGGTTTATTTAATTTTGTAGATCCAACCTGCAAACGATACACCTCTGCCAGCACAGCCAGTAGCAGCAGCTGTTTCGGCACCTGGATCAACTATTACAATGTGAGCTCATCTTATTGCATAGTTTTTGGCTTGTGGTTATGAGATTCTTCCCTCACTTGTTTGTTCTTATTATCTATAATTTTTATTTATTGCATTTGCAGCCCACAACCTGCTCCATCTGCTCCAGTTCCTGTGCCTACTCTTACTGCGTTAGTATACTTTATCAGTTTATTATCTGTGATGCGGACAGGAGTATTTACCCTTCCACTGCATATTATAATATATTCATATGTCGATTTATTTTTGTTCAAACAGCTCAACAGATGTGTACAGCGAAGCCGCGTCAAATCTTGTTGCTGGAACTAACTTGGAGGGGACAATTCAACAGATTATAGATATGGGTGGAGGAAGTTGGGATCGAGATACAGTTGTTCGAGCTCTACGGGCTGCATTTAACAACCCAGAGAGAGCTGTTGAATATCTCTATTCTGTGAGCCTCCAACATCTGTGATAATCTTTGCCGAATTTTGCCTGAGTACTTTTGCTGCACTTTCAATTTCCAAAGAGCTGAAACATATGACTTGCAAGTTTAAATTTGATAATTTTGAGATATAGCTAAAATTATAGCATTAGTTTATAAGTGAAGGGTTTAATTTTTCAGGGTATTCCAGAACAAGCAGAAGTCCCTCCTGTGGCTCAACCTCCTCCAGGTGGGCAGCCTGCGACGACTCCAGTCCAGGATACACAGCCAGCAGTACCTTCTGGTGGACCCAATTCTAATCCTTTAGATCTTTTTCCACAGGTGGGAATTTCGTCTATGATATCAATCACTTTGTTAAAGAATAAAAAAAATATTCGTTGTGAAAAATATGCAATTTTAATTTTCGTATCTTTCTCGGGCCAGGGTCTACCAAGCATGGGATCCAATGCAGGTGGCGGCAACAACTTAGACTTTCTTCGCAATAGTCAACAGGTTCTAAACACGTGTTTCCTATAAGAAATTATATTGGTTTGATATCTTATTTTATTTGTTAATTAGATAAAATGTTCTTCATCAGTTTCAAGCACTGCGTGCCGTGGTGCAAGCCAATCCTCAAATCTTGCAGGTACTTAATTCACCATGCAATTTATTTTTGTATCTCTAAGGTGTGTGCCAACTAATCTTTGCTTGTAATATTGACATTTTTTCATATTTGCAGCCTATGCTTCAAGAGTTGGGAAAGCAAAATCCACAACTAGTACGATTGATTCAAGACCATCAGGCTGACTTCCTACGGCTCATAAACGAACCTGTCGAGGGGGATGGGTGAGAAATTTGGATTATCTGCATCTTATTTTGTTGGTTTTTTCCAAGCTCATCTCTCTATAAATCTTCTGACCACCGTGATATCTCTAGGAACGTATTAGGTCAACTTGCTGAAGCAATGCCACAGTCTGTTGCTGTTACAGCGGAAGAGCGAGAAGCAATCGAGCGAGTAAGTGTTTCGTTTGCCCCATATTGCCCATTTCTTGTCTATGAAAATTGAATATGGTAATGAATTTGATAATTTAGTTATGCCCCATCGTATACTAATTAGCAACTCTTACATGCCATAAGAGTTATCAGAAAACTCAGCAATATGCGAACATAGCAACCAAAATTAATGTAAAATGGCCTCATGTCGTGTATGAAATGCGGAGTTGGCAAGGGGAAAGAAAAAGAAAACCTCATTTCATAGTATATTTCATTAATTTGATATAAGTCTCCGGAATACCATGAAAAGTTTTCACTATATAACCATTTCTAAGATTGTTCGTTTTCCAATTTGCATGTAGCTATTTGATTTTGGCAACATTTAGGTCAAGCAGTACATAACATAACAGAGATTATAAAGTGAATTATGCCTAAATCAATAACACTGTATTTTAACTTGCAGCTTGAAGCAATGGGTTTCGACCGAGCTTTGGTATTGGAAGTATTCTTCGCATGCAACAAGAATGAGGAGCTTGCTGCCAACTACCTATTAGATCATATGCACGAGTTTGACGACTGAAGCAACATCTACTTTAATACTTGCAATTTAACTTTTCTCGGTTTTATAATGTCAAATATATAATATATTTTGCCTTCCAAAAAATTATCATTTTTAACATGAGATATAGTTTTTGAAAAATATACAATACACTTTCTCCTTAAAAGTATTTCTCGTTTTGATTGGTTTTCGTTACAGAACGCAGTGTAGCGTACATTTTTTAATGGTTGGACTTGCATTAGTTTAGCCAGTTGCAAGATTCCTGCAGTTTTTGTTACACTCTCAGATTGGTTTTATACCTTGGCCATCCAAAGTGAAACACAAATTGACTTCATAAAATGGTGAAATATGACGTTGCCTCAACTTTTACAGTTTTTAGCTAACCGACTTTTTTGATCGACTTTTTGAATTAGATAGTTATGTGTACAAAATTCCATTTTATTGCTACTTAAGTCGATTTTTTTAGAAAATAAAATGCTCAAAAACTTCTACAAACAAAAAAGAAGAAAAAAAACGAGCCATTCAGGAGAACTTTTCAACCAAGCTCGATAATTTATACATATGACGACCTGTCTACATGCATAAATACCAAATAGATACACAATTGTGATTCCACACTCAACTAAAAAAGAAGAAAAAAAACGAGCCATTCAGGAGAACTTTTCAACCAAGCTCGATAATTTATACATATGACGCAAATTTCTAGCATAGACAATTCACCTCACAAATTATCTTGCAAATACCAGTCACAAATTGCACTACCATCAGCCAAAAAACGAGTCGGGGAAAATACAGAGCATCTAAGGCCATTACTTCCTCCCTTAAAAGAGTACCTCCTCCCTCTAGCAGAATAAGAGAAAAGCTAGAAAAAATGCACTCCAAATTCTGAACATCTGAACTTTTTTCGATATCATAGAGTCAGTTCACTATCACCAGTATATTAACCATACAAACTTACCACATCATTATGCCATTAGCCACAACCAAACTTGTGATTTCAGAAAAATCTGGTACTGATTATGTATACTAATTGTCGGGCGACTTTTTGTTATCATCTTCTAATTCATCAGTATTGGCATTGCCTGGAATATTTTTTTTCTCGTTTTCTAAATCAACTGTACTGGACAAACTGGATTGCTCGGGTCTATTGCCAGTTCTTCCCAAATCAGAATCCTCGCTGATGGAGGTCACTTCAGCATCATTTGTTGACACCAAAGGCCTTTCTTTTTCATTGTCTTCTAAGATATTGCCATGGTTAATAATATCTGTACCTTCACTATTGTGCTGCTCTTTAGGTGACTCGGCATACTCGGCAGAAACTTCTAACCTTTGCTCAAAGTCATCAGAAGTTCCAGTGTCATTCGCATCAGATGATTGGCCATTATCTACTTCTGTGCTGGGTAAATGTTGAACATCTGACAGAGACTCGTTATTCTCATCGTTTGATACCATCTCTTTTTGCTTTAAATAGTTGTCGAAAGGTTCAATGTGTTCTTCTTTCGCAAACTGATCTGACTGAGTATCGGAAAATAACTCGTCCTCTTCAAGGCCTGAAACCATGTGAGCACCTTCACCGAGCTCGTGGCTTTCAATCCTTGTACTTCCCTTATTGCTAAGAGGTGGGGAAGAAGAGTGTTCTTTGTCATTATTGTCACAGCTACTATTATCTGGAGGTGGGGCAGTTTCGTTTCCCGAGGCTGGAAAAGACTGGAAAGTGTCCCAATCATCTTCCTCCTCTTCTTCTTCTTCGTCTTCTTCTTCTTCTTCAATAGTGTTGTTAGGCTTGTTTGGAGGTTCTAATGGAAGGGTATTTTTCTCTCGGATCTCGTCTGTCTGCGAAGGTAACTTTATCACTAAGGCTGGTCCAGAGGATGACATTAGTTTTGGGTTCTTGTCTTGAACTACTGAAGCGCGGATTATGTCCTGAAAGCATGAAAATTGAAAACGGGAAATCAAATCTCAAGTTCCTAGTTGCTGAAAAGGAATATTCAATCGTTTTGCATCAAGCAACTCAGTAAATCAAATGTACTATGTAAACAAAGATCGAAACAGAATGATAGGAACTAGAATGATAGTGCTAAGAACAAGACAAGTGTGAAACCAAAAAACAATAATAATAACAATAAGCAACAATAGTAAGACTAAAAACAATAACAAGGGTGATTATGCCAATTATCTAGATATATCTATTTCAAAGGTTTTGTGGCTTTGCGACCAATAATACTGTGTTTGTGTTAGGTATAAAAGATTGAAAACTTCATTAAAGGTAAGAAGCATGAAAAAGCTTTATAGCACTTAGAACATTGTGTCCAGCCAAGTACAAAATAGTTGCGATTACTGAGGTCACTTTACTTTAAAAAAAGAACAAATTTGCAGACACCATCATAATAGTAATTCTGGTTCATGGACTGATCATAAAACTTGAATCTTTGATTAATTCACCAGCAAATTTTAAATGAGAGGAAACAAAAGAACCTGAAGCTGCTGTCTTTGTGTAGCTGGCATGGCTAATAGAATATCCTTGACAGAAGCTGCTGCGCTAGGAATTTGAACAAGTTGAGAAACAAACTTTACAGCAATGCTTTGTAAATCGTTAGCTGCCTGCAATTAAACTTAACAGTTAGTATATGTTAAGAATACAAATAGAAAACAGCTTGATAACTATAGTGTCGGCATTACTTGAGAAAGAGAACCATCAGACATCAAAAAAATCATGAGAATAGCTTCCAAAAGCAGATGTATTAGCCCCTTCTGATGATCATTTCCTTTCGACAATGTTAGCAGAAGCATCAAAATTTTTAGACATTCCCCAATAATAGCAACTGCTTCTCTGCTAATGGGGTTCTGTAATCAAAATCACGTAGCAGCATTTAGGATGTGATTTCAGTGAGAGTTTTGGGGGGGAGATTTACTATGTCAACTGTTACCTCTAAATTATTTACTATGTCAACTGTTACCTCTAAATTATTCTGGACTATCATGAACAAATCTTCAACAAGCTCCCCAACATAAAAAATTAAGAACGGAAGAGATTCTGTACCAATTCCTTTTTGTAGCCTGACTTTCAGAACTTGCAAGGCAACTGCTTGAATCTGCACATAAACTTCTTCTTACTTTTCTGAATATGTACACTCTTTTTTTTTTTCCTTTATTTATTTTTATATGTATACTCAAGATGGAGAGATTTTAGCAAATGGTCACCTGTAGGTTGGAATCAGTAAGCACAGCTTGGATACACTGAATGCTAAGATGCAACACTTTATATAAAACGGGATTACTTTCTTGGCTCTCTCCAGGACCTTCAAATGCAAAAGCTAGAGTAGCATATGAAAAGAGTTGTTCAATAGAGTAGGCAAGTTTTAGGAGCAGTATCTTGAGCAAGTTGGACTTCTTATCACTCAGTTGATGAATTGCCTGGACGCAATCATTAGTCAGACTAGTTGTTGCATTTAGGCAAGCTCTGGTTGTTGATACCAATTGGGTAGCGCCATCAGCTCCAAGTCCAACATTTCCTGTAATAAAAGCAACCATCACCCTGATGCATACTATGTAAAAATTGCATATCGAACCCCATAACATAGTTAGCAGGATGGTCATATTAAGGCAGATACAGAATCTAGACAGAGCCTAGTTCAAACTATTTAGAAGACCAATACTTGCTCGATTATGGGAGAACAAATATTACACGTTCATCTACATACTGAAAGAATGTAAAGAGATTTTTCAAAATATAACCATGATACCAGAGTTTCTTTATTTTCGGTGGGTCCAATCAAAATTCACTTGAGGCAGAGGTTTGATCTTTTATTATAATTTCTAACATAAGTAATCTCTTCGTAGTCTCAATACAGAAAACTTCTGGCATATTATACTCGACATACTCCAACCTCGAAATTAAGCTATTTGGATTTTTATATTACATGTTTATGCAATGTACACCTTGTGTAGGTTAATATAGTATCAGGGGAGGTTATTAATCGGATGACTTGCCCTCCTATAATGACTAGAAGGAAAGAAGAAATTATAATGCAGATACTGGAGTTTTGGGGAGTAGATGAACAAGCAAACAAGGAAATACAAGAGGTGGAGAGTGTTTTTCAAAATGTTCTTGAAGTACTTACCAAGTCTCTCTAACAAAGAAGCAATAGATTGAACAAAGACATTTATTTCTGAAAGGGATATCTCAGTTGATGCTTCTCCAACGTACTTGTAACCAATCAACAGAAAAGGCAACGAGAACTTTAGCTGCATCTGCATCAACCGGAGTTTATAATGAGAATGTGACAGAAAGGTAAGAAGCACAACACAAGATGGTGGCTTTCAGTGCATTGACGTATATGTAAACGGAAGTGCAAGAACTATAATGACCCAAATACTAGTTTAGGTACACTTTGATCATCACAAATGAGCTTATCTACCTGAGATTCAAAGCGTTGCAACAGTGTTGAAGCAGCGGTAAGTGCCACGGAAATAATCTTTTCCCCGCCTGAAGGATGTTGAGAATTCACGCTGCCACTGAATTCCAAGCAAAGTCAATTATTTCAAGCCATTAATTCTCCGAGAACTTGAAAAGATTATAATGAAATATAAAGGTACCTTGATAGAAGTTTGAAAAGAGAAGTCAAACACAGTTCCGTTGTCAAATATGCAAACTTCTCCACCTCGAGGAAATCATTTGGACAGTTCTGAACAACCTGCTGGTACAGCTAAGAAATTAGTGATCAAAACCAGATGCATAATAAAATCCCCTGAAACCGAAGAACCAAAAAAATTCAAACATCTGTGGCTGCATCCTGTTTGACATCAGAAATCAGAATAAACAGTATAACCCTTCAATCAGGTTCCAGTTTCTAGTCCAAAGTTTCAACCGTAATTTCAAGTATCTGTGAACAATTTATATTAAAACCTCTCAAAATTAAGCTCTCAAGCCGAAGAATTGGTTTTTAACTGACGAGAAGAACAGAGTAGATTAGATAAGAGAATGTCCTTTTACATAATCCAATAATCAACACATAGTTTCACCATCGTTTTGTGGCATGCCAATTTTTTTGGCATTATTACAAGCTAGATACTTTTTCAATAGAATTCATTTTCTAAGCATTATACATCATTGGTTCATATGAAAGGCTGGATTAGTTCAAACAATTAAGTATCACGATCATTACCTGGGATAGAAAATAGACTGCAAGATAATCCCATGTATCTTCTCTGAAAATTAAGTATGAAAAGACCTGCATCCACAATAAAAAATGAATGAATAAAGAAATTCTTCCCCCAAAACATCTTTCTCAAACAAATGAAAATATGCCCCAAACATTGCCTGGTGTAATACTCTAATAACTCTACTGCAAGACATGAATCATGTATTCATACGTACCTGCAGTAGTTCTCTGCAGGCATCCAAAGTAAGAAATCCAGAAGTGAAGAATCTTTTGGTGGACATAAATTGAAACACGGGGAAGAAAATGTTGTATAACTTAAAAGATGAGGAATTCAAATCGTCAACTGGAATTTCGTTACTGAACTTGGATTTGATGCAACACACTGGTATAATATGTTCACTGAGAGCAATATCTTGCTCCTGAAATAGTACCAGAAGGAAAAAACCCCATAGGAACTGAAAATCATCTAATCGCAACTCCACCATGCTGTATCCAGAAGTAGGAATATTTTTTGATCTGTCTGTTGGAGAAGATTCATTTACATCAGAATTATTAGGTACTGCATCCAACACAAGTGCTTGCAGAATCACAGGCCAAGCTTCTTCTAGACATGGCTGCAATTCAACTGAAATTACCGATGATTGAATTCCATCAAGAAATGGTTTCCACTGTATGTCACACAAAAAAAAGAAGCAAATGTTTAGCAATCAAGGCTACAATTTTTCCCTTGCGATTGATACACTTTCAGTTGAAGAAGGTATCATGGAATGAAGAAAGAGAATGTCAAGCTCACATTTCCCAAATGTTGGTGGAATCGAAGAATGCTGTAGTCCTTCAGAAATGAGATCCAATACGTCCCCAGAATTCTTGAACTCTTAGCAAACAATGGCAGTAGAGCCTGATACTCATCAGGAATATCATCACTTTCCCGCCTTAAGATAGCAAATATATAACACTTGAGAGAAGCATGAACAGTGAGAAGCCTAACTTTGATCTGCAATTACCAAAAGATGAAAATATGGGCCATTTGAAGCTGCTTCTAGATTTCATCACTACTGATATAAAATCAATTAATATTACGGGGGAAGACCAAAAAGTCCTAGTGGAAAATAATTAGTATCCAAAAAACCCCAAATAAAATTCTTTTAACCAAAACGTCTTAGAATCATACTAAATTATCCAATACATTGAAAAAAAAAACAAAAAAAGGGAAATCTTTTAGATGGAGAATATTCAATATAGTAAGAACCAAGTAAGAAGACTATGATAATATTTACATTTTATAAACACGAGATTAATTTCTTGTATATATTTCGAAAAAGACCACAATAAATTATTCGAATCTTAATTAGAATAGTCTTCATTTAAGGAAAATATCCAATTATAGTATCTTAATTACATTTAATAAAAAGTATTTTAATCTCACAAGCAAAAAATAAATTTGGAAGTAGAGTAATTGGACAAATTGGTATGAATATTTTGATTTTAGGACTTTCTAGATAGAAGAATTTTACTTGAGAGTTTTTGCATAAAATACTTTTTAGCATTTTGTTCTTCATACTAAGCAGGGAACCCATTTAAAGTAACCATTTCTATGACACAACTATATAATTTGCTCAAACGCAAATTCACCTTGCATGAGACCCATTCGGCATATGATGGATAGTAAAGGCCATTGAAGTCATCTAGTGGACGTGAAATCAATGAAAATATTCTCTTGACTGCAGCTTGATCTCGACTGATGATCCCACTAGTCAGCATCTACAATTCCATTATGTCAGAACATCTGAAGTAATAAATGTCAATTCACATTAGAAAAACAAAACCAAATATCTGCATGCATTATTTACTTTAGTGGCTAGCTGCAGGCCTGCTTCCAGCAAAATTGGGCCTGAAAATGAGTCCAATGCACTTCGGACAGCGGACACCAGTTGGGCCTAGATTGAGTAAATTCAAAATCCACAATAAGTTGACTACTAATAACAATATATATTGCAATGAGGCATTACGATTTTCAAAAGAGAATAATATAACCATCAAACGGATATACATGTGACAAAGTTTGCATGAGAGACAAAAGTTAAAGCAAGTATGGTAGCAAACCTGATACTGTTCCAGAAGGAGGTGATCAGGAAGCTCGGGATCCGGAATTGCTGCAAACTAATAATACATAGAACAAAATACATAACACTTCAGGTTAAAACTTCTGACAAAACACAGTGCAAACTAATAAGTTTTATGCACTTTTCACTAGTCAAGATTCGAAGCTCAGTTTGATTACATAAATGTTGAAGTGTCGGAGATGTACCTTGTCCATAATAGTACATAGAAGTGAAACACCAATTGGCTGCATTTTTTCAAACTGAATGGTGCTTATCTACAAGATATGACATGAAAATATTAGAAATCTTGCGTTATTTCTTGATTAAAAAAGAAAAGAACTTTCTATAAAAAGATTGTTATTCTATATTCAACACCTGATAAGCAAGAGAAATAAGCTCTTGCAATTGAAGAACCAGCCAGTCTCCAGAAAGATGCCCCTTAGCAGGTCGTTCCCTTGCCAATGAGAGGTCAAAGTGAGCAAGACTGTCCCCAACAGCTTCAGGAAGATGCTTCAAGCACCTAGATTTCAATCACATTTTAGTCATACTTATTGCAGCATACGGAAAGGGATATTTTCCTTGACCTAGTAAGCTACGGTTACATAACTCATGAGACAATTGCAACTCATTTTAAAAATTACTAAATATTAAATGATAAACATCATTAACGTAAGCTTAAGCTTTTGGATGAACTGGTCATTCAACATGGTGTTGAATCAGAGCCAGGACAAACAAGAGCTCCTGAGTTTTAATCTCATTGCCAACCTCTAAAAAAATTATTTAACCCACTTAAGGATATAGTCAGTCTCAAAAGATAGAAATACACTAACAAACTCATAATTTAATCTCTACAAGCTTAATTAATAACTAGAAGTACAAGCAATAGTTTAGACGAAAGAAAATATATGGATATAGAAGATAATAACTGAACCTGCTTGCAGAAAGGAGTAGCAACAATTATGGAAAGAACATATAAGTGAATAAAATGAATTAACTTAGCTGAACTGTAAAAAGTAAGGTACATACTCAGCAGCAAAAACTCTTGTTCGATATCTAAGGTGCTTATCCCTTGAAATGTTAGGACTGGAGTAGTCAAGCGTATGACTGCGGATTGCCGAACTTTTGGAGCTAGAGACCATATTCTCATCATCTTCCTCAATATCCAATCTTTTTTCACCATCCAGACCATTTGAAGAATCACTCACAATATTATTACTCTTGCTTGCATTAAGTCTTGATGATGTAGAAAGAATCTAAACATTTTTCATATAAATCAGCAACCAAAATAATCACATACAGATCACATCTGTGTGATATAACAATAGTCCTAGCAAACTAAAATTTTAGGCTGAAAATCCCATGCCAATACGGAAATTGCAAATAGGAAGTCAAGTAAGATGCAACTGCCCTGTCAATTTTAAAGAAGAATCCCATTGACCCTACATGTAGATGTATATAAAACATGTTCAACCAGTGGACTAAAGGATATGCAAGTAAGCTCAACCCAATTCCTCTCTGAATCTAATGATAACTATTCAACTACTGGCCAATTTTGCAGCCCGTGAATATTGAGAAGCCATGTGAAAGAAGGTTGGAAATAATTACAAATACTATATTACAGATCCATATTGTATTAGGCAGGTAAGAAAGTTACCATATTGCGGCATATCGACAGCCAATGGGATGGATGTGAAGGGCATGATGCATAAAGCAATCTCACAATCGTGGTTCGTGCTAAATTGCCAATCCTGAGAAAACATGTAAGAGTCAAAGATATTATGTGCTATCATAAGGCAATGTTTTGTAAAATCAAAGTGATGAAACCTCCCAAACAGTATATATCCGAAACCCCATATTTGAGATTCACCATTAAATTATAGAACCCATAAATATTTAGAATTTATTGGAAAAATGAAGTGGAATTTTTGAATTTGCTTAATGCCTACAATAATAACAAGGTGAATTCATATTTGAGTGAAATCAATAACAAGAGATGTTCCAACTAATTCTTAAACATACGACATAATCAAAAACTGCATTTAATGAAGTTCCAAGGATTAGAAACTCTCTGACCTAATTAACTTGCTACCGAGAACACACCAAATAACTTACTAATAATGTTCCTACATTAAGAAATAATTAATTCCTAAGTGTATTACATGAAAATGATAAGATGCATGAAAAGCCTTTCATTGCAACACTTTCATTCAAAGAATAAAACCAGCATTACAAATAACTTACTCTGTATCAGTTTCCTCATCCAACATGTGGAACAAGGTTTCTTCTATTTCTTCATCAATAATGGGAACCTGTAATTTCATCATCAGCATATGCTACTAGGAGATCGTATATAAATCATGAACTTGCTCTAAGATAATAAGGGACGCCAGGAAAAGGAGGATGAGAAGTCCTCATATGCAACTACATTGGATTTCAAAACTCTTGACAAAAAATAAAAGAATTATTCACCGAGTATTTAGTATAATGTAGCACATACATACACACACAGCTTCTCTACTCCTTTTTTGCAGTTTGAGTGTTTGACACGTTAATATAAATATTCACCACAGAAATTCTGGACAGGTAGATATATGTAGATATGCTGCCATCAGATGTTCTTAAGTGACTTTTCAACCTTTTCGATTATTCCATGAAAAGAGGTTTTAAATATCAAATTAATTAAACAATGCTCAGAAGTGTCCTCCATCACATTGCTTACAGTAACAGAATATATATACATATACCAAAAATAGACTGTTCAGAAAAATGACGCTTCATAGGTACTAACCGGATCTTTTTCTATAAGGTGTCGCAAAGTGGACAGAGCAAGATGCCTCAGACTCGGCTGACACAAATAAAACCGAACCTGTTATAGAAACCATAAAACTTATCTACGACCAATATATCAAACTGTAAAAGCATACCTGTCTTGAGAAAAGAGTGGGGAGGAGAGTTAGCACATGAGAATGCACAGTAACTGCTTGTGGTGCAAAAAGAACAAGCTGTTGTGTAAAGCGCGCACTCCTATCAAAATGACAAGCAAAAAGTAAACTCATGCAATTTTGTTACAGTTGATATACCAGCTGTAATATAAAAACAATCAGCTTCAGGCAACACTAAAAAACAATCCACTAGAAAAACATAAACATGCAGTTCCTATGCCTACAAACAGAAAGTAACGTAAATATATTATAGAATCTACATACTCGAGAAGGGTTGCTGTTTCTTGGCACGAGCTGATCTCTGCAACAGCCGACTACACATAAATGGCATCAATTAGGCAACATTCAACAAATTAGGCAACAGACTAGAATGAGAGCTAGAAACATGCCTACAGATAGAATCAGAAATGGTTTGGCTTAAATGATGTTTTGAATGATAATAACAGAACAGTTAAAAATATTATTACAGAGGAAAAGCAACTCCGAAACTAACTGTTGTAGTGGCTATATTTTTATTTTCTACTTCTACATTCTCTGCTATATTAAATCACCAAAAAATGAGTTTGTTTAACCTATTTTTCAAATATCACTTAGAGTCGATATAGAGTCTCATCGAATTCGCGTACTAGAACTACGATTATTCAATAAAAAATCATTTATTGAAATCAAGTCTTTGAAAAATATCTTTCAGTGTACTCAAATAGCTTAAAAATAGCAATTGAGATAGTTCACATTGTTTACAAAGGACAAATATATACACCTCTTCACAAAATCATAAAATCATCAAAACACTGTGGACAGATATCAGAATAGTATTTTTCAATCCTATATGTTCAACATTTCCACACTATTGTTACAATCATCTGAAAATAGCAGAAAAAGGGAAGAACCAAACCTTGCAGCGCGAGAAAAAAATGCTCCCAGGGGAAAGTTCAGGACCTATAATAGCAACAATAGCATTAATAAGGCGGCCCACTGCCTGCTGCATGTCAACCAAACCACTCTCTTCTGACATGATGATTTCCATTACCAGTCCAAGTGTTGCCTGCAATAACAGAAAGCATAACATACTTAACTTCATAAAAAGGGTAAAATTCAAAATTAACCTTGAGATTTGAACTATTGGTGAAAAGAACCAATTAAGTTTGTAAGTGACTAATAGTAATATCCCCTAACATTGCCTCAATTTCGATCTGCAACTACTTAGGGGAGGAGTTAGTAAATAAAAACAAGCCTCAAGGGTATGTTTAGTAATTTAACGCGCAACGTAATTATCATAGAGTACTTCCAATCCAAGAGAACTAAGTAGAAATACTATGCAACTAAGCACACAACTACAGAATATGGGCTCCAAAGAACGGCACACAGAAACAACTTAATATGATTTCACGAAGAGGCTACACATGAAAGATCTGAATTAGTAAAGACACTCTCTCTCTCTCCAATTTATATATATATTTCAAAAATATATGACGGAACTTCACACCATCTGCTCTTGTATTTGAAAACCATAAATCATTCATAAAAAACCACCAGGAATTTGCACAATCTATAAGGATGCATCTTAAACTCGCAACATGAAGAAAACCAAAAGCATATATGGCAACAACATAAATATTTCTACAATTTTAACCTAAGGAAAATTTTAAATCTCTCTGAAATACATCTTTGCTATTCCATCAGATTAGACATTTAAATCATCTAACTTACAGGAACTATGAAAATTACTGAAAGTTAAACAAAAAACTTATTTACAAGGGGCTGCAAGCCCATCAATACCTGAACTTGAGATACATAAGACAAGCCTGCCGCTTCAATGGTCAAAAGAAGTCCATGCAAGGACCAAATCTGTAAATTCGATATCGAACTTTTAGCAAGCGAAGATACAGCATTTACTGTATTAGGAACTAAGCTTGACAACGCCATTCCTCCTGCACTGCAGACAATATACAGAAAAGAAAACTCTACATAAATCACTGAGGGGACACCATCGAGATCAATCACTAGCTCTTGAAAAGTAGAAGAACCCATTTTGTTGAGGTGGAAGACAAATGTAGTACTAATAGGAAAAAATGAACTTTCTGAAGCCAGGATAAAATAGCTGTTTTAGAATACATAGTGTATTAAATACGTCACAAATTATCGATTTATGACTTTGTAATAGTCAATTATCATTTATGATTTCCCGTGGTAGCTAATTAGTGATGCATAGGTTGCTTAGAAATCTGACTGGTTGTAAATCTATAGCCAAATCAATCAAACATCTTTTAAACATTAGCAAGTATAAGATGATTGAGTACTTCTACAGAAGAACAATGAAGATAATCAACATGTAGAGTAAGAAAATAGAGAAGAGACCGACTTGCATAAGCCACAATGAGAGAGGACCATATAAAATAGAATCATTTGAAGTTGTTGAACGTAAAAAACGCAGATTCTGTTAAATTGTTGGGTCATATACTGACACCCCATTCTTTAGTTGCTTGTTATGAAACTATTTTAAAAGTGTAAGGGAAGGAGGGGCAACCCAACAACAGCTCCTAGACTACAACAGGATTCTTATACTCGAAAAATGACTTGAAATTTGGTGTAAATTGGTACATATGAATTTGTTTATGCAATACAACCGACCTCAGAAGCATATTATATTATTATGCATGCGTCTGGGTGTGTGTGTCTGTGAGTGAGAGAGAAATTTTGCATGCTCAAGCTGCATTTCAGTTACATGTCAATTGCAAGTCTCAAGGTTACCTGCAATGAATGCAGCCAAGAGCAAGAGCAATTGATCCAGCATAGTTGGAATCTGTAGCGCCAGTTACATCACCAAGAAATTGTTTTGTCTGTGCACAAAGAATCAGTCAAAATGATAACAGAGATTTCCCAAGGAATAAGGAAAAAGCAACTGTAAAGGCCTTGCCTGAGAGGCATTGGGGTGGGGAGGGTAGTATTAGGTAAAGGGTTCAATTCTCATTGGGTTCGAGTCTTGTAGGTCATTTATTAGGATAATTTTATTTATTTCTTAATAAAAGAATAAGGAAAGAACAGGGAGTTTTGCCGCCTAAAGCAGTTTTTCAACTAAGTTTCCACTTCAACATACATGTGCAGTAAAGAAGGGCAAAGAATAGCAGTAGAAATATAAAAAGACTAGTCTGCGAAGGAATTCAGGCAGAATATCTGAAGTACTTGCACCAAGGAAAACTAAAGTTAGAATCAAATTTCTTTACAAGAATTAGATCCCTACCCCGTAGCTCCTTAATAAGGGGAAAAGGGGGGAAAAGCAAACCACAGTTAATAAATAGAAGAATATCAAACCACTAACCAATCTGGCTGTAAATGTATCATTTCCCAGCCTTGCTAATAAACCAAGCCCTTCTGATGATGCTCTACGTTGTGATGCACAAATGTCTCCTTCAGCCAAAATACTCTGTCATGATCACAAGATTTAGCGTTCAGGAAGAAAAAGAAAGGGCGGGTCAGATTTTTGACAAATTTAATAATAAAAGCAGCTCAGAACCTGGAAAATTGCCTGAGCAGCACTTAGTATCTCCATTCCCAGGCGTTCAGGACGTTGAGCAAGTAAAGTCTGGAAGAAACACCGAGTGATGTGAATTGTTAGAGCGGAAATTCTCGGTAGCATAACTGAAAATTAATTAAAACCTAACCTTCAGCCCGGCTAGTAACCCCACACATATATTGGTAACACTGGCTGCATGCCAAGCTTGTTTTTTTCCAGCTTTTAGACACTGATCAGTCATGCCAAGAAATGAAAGCATCCCACGACTATCCTGGGAGAACATAGAAAATGAGCTGAAACATTCAGACCCTTCTATGTCAACCAGCAACCAAAATTTGCATGACATACACTAATAACATCACCTACCTGAGAAGCAAACATAGTTCCAAAGAAGAGGAGCATCTGATTTACCAGCATCTTGCTTATAGTTTCAGGCTTCATTATTAATTACATGCATTAATGTCAGAATTAACAAAATGCAAGTTTTGACAGGTTACTAGCCAAAGTGGAATGTAAACTCCGTTAAGGCATGGTAATGCACTTTACCTGAGGAAAACTAGGAGGCTCATTTTCCCATACACATGTCAACACACCATCGGTTCCCCCTTGAAAAGAGCGAAGTTCATCTTCAAACCAATCCCTACACAATCATATAGAATTAGAATTGCAAAGGAGAAGATTAAGAAATGACCCTTTAACTACAATCAGGAATGAGGCTAATGGCAACTGAGAATGGAATATGTTTTACAGACAAGAGTATGAACAATCACTTGACAAGAAACGGGATGAGTAAAAAGACTACACCTTCCAGGAATCCAAGGACCTAACCAGGCATCTCTCTTGTCTAACAACATCCTTAGACAAGAGCTTTCTTCACATCTGGAAGCTTCCCTGTCATAAAGTTTAAAACAACATGAACTAAGTTCATAGAAGAAAGAAAAGAATGTGTACAACATCGTATCTTACATGAAGCTTCCCTGTCATAAAGTTTAAAACAACATGAACTAAGTTCATAAAAGAAAGAAAAGAATGTGTACAACATCGTATCTTACATGCAGTAGAAGTTCAGTTTTCTTGAAAACACGTGCACAACTACACACAATACAGGCATTTCAATGCTTACCTAAAAGGAGTACTGCATATCTGAATAATCAGCGCATGGTCACTTTTGTACAATGATGGGTCTGAAAGCGCTTCATATGCTAACAACACCCGGATGACAAATAAGTCCTTTGAAGACTTTACTCCAGCTTGTTCTTTGCCTGCTAGTTGTGATATATAGGACAGAGCCCTAGTTCATACAAATTGAAATTTAAAAATATCAACAAGCCTACTCTAGATGGAAGGGAAAAGAAACTATAACCTAATAGAATTTTCAAAGCCAAAATACAGAAAACATAAGGAAATATTTTTACCTGTTCAGGTAAAAAAGAACTGGCTGCAGCAAGATTCCTCTGTTCACCGAGTCAGAAGAAACAAAACATTTTACATATGAAGTAAGCGCATCAATGGCAGCAGACCATACGCTACAGAAGAAAAATTAATATCGTAAGTAAAATTGATACCATATGAGAGCTTTGAGCAATCCAGAAAATGAATAAGGGTAACAAAATCAGTAGTTGCAGCTACTAATCGATATAGAAAGTGATGTTGTGATAAAGAAGAAACAAAAACTCAACGAAAATGCAACTTAGAAGTTATAATGGTGAAACATTACTTCTCCATTCTACATATGATGCATGAAACTACTTACTTATAGAGTATATACTATAGCTGGTGATTGATTAGTTTCTTTTCAGAACATTTAAGCACGAAAATAGCATAAAGGTGAACAGGAACTAAATTATTATTCTGTTGTACTTGTAAAAGAATATGCACCCTAATGGGTAATAAAAGGAGCAAAAATCATGGCTGCCACTTTGCTTGAGTCAATGATACCTTTTTGTTTCCTACAACAATAGGACCGGGATCAGAGGCCCCACAAAATCCTAAAAGAAATGATGTATCCCTTCAACATCTCAACTCTACCCAGACAGAAAAACCAAACTACTGTTGGAAATCATTATGCGCCAAGCCAAGCCAAGCCAAATCCTCACAGACCGGTCTCTAAGGTAATCTGTTCTCTAATAGGTTAGGAAAAGAAACACACCTCCCATTTCCTCACTCTCCCCCTACTGCCACCCAAAACTTCAAGGCACACTCCTTCCTGCCAAATTCACTGATGGGTCTATCAGCACCCCCAAAGGCAACCTCAACCACCGACTCTGAGCCTCCACCCCATCACCCTTTATACAGCTATAACACCTCATCCTCTCAAGCAGCTTCATCTTTCATCTTTCCACTACCCATTCCTGCATCAACTGCTTTTTTCTTCTCTCGAAAACAAGAATAGCTGCAAATCACCCATAACAGTCTAAGTTTTGTCATGACGTTTGCAGACTACTGTAATTATTTCTCCGTTTCCCTCTTATTAAAGGACATCTGAATCTGTAGGTTGCGAATTGGCTAGAATATAAATACCGTGTCCACTCTCAGGTTAAGTTATGAATTAATAAATACACCAAAAAACAATTGAAATACTGGGTTCAAGGTGTTGACATGAATAAATAATTTATGATACAAGGTATGTAAAGCCTTCTCGTAGACTTTATTAACTCTTCACAGTATCACTTCCACTTTTTTGTTTTGCTGTGTGTTTCTTTTACTTTTCTTTGTTTTGAAAATATAGTTGATCGCCCAATTACACTCACCAAGTTGCAAGTTATCTCCACTTGAAATACAAATATCTGGCAGATTTTTCTCTAAATGTGGAACTGCAGTACATTGAATAGTTGGAAGCCAAAAAATTGCAGTTCAAATGTAGAAGATGGAGTTAAAATGAACATCACTCAACTAACCATATTTCTGATGTGAGATCTTGTGCTTGATCTATATGGTGTTTCGGATGCCCACTAAATGTGGAAGCCCATAAAGCAAGAATATCAAAAACTTGGTCGTTGAGCTCCTGCAAGCATCAAAACTAACTCCTGAGAAACCGTGATGGAAATCAACCACTAACTATAGAACAATAAACATTTACCTCCTTTGACACAGAAGTCAACAGTGAAGACAGAAGGTTCCATCCAGCTTCTTTTTCTACAGCAGCTGCTGCGGTGTTCCTGCTATATTCCGTCAACAGGTTCTTGCAAACATCAAGCATAGATTTGGGCAATCTGCACCCAACACATACAGGAAATCAATGAAGGTTGCAATAAACACTAGAATTTTAGAAAGGAACGGAGAACCTTTGCTGCTAACTTGATTTCATTTTCACATTGAATGCAAACATGCCTTTATGTAACATTATGAGGTTACACTTGGGGAAACATATGTTTCCGCAAATGGTGCGCTTCACAACAGTAATAATTATGATAAAGCACAAGACGCTGAAAATAGAAGATAAGCACCCTACCTGGTTGGATATCCAAGAGGTAACTTCCGTGATATAGAAACTAGTGAAGCCAAAACTGCTGCTTGCCCATGTAGAGATTCAAGCTCTCTTTTAAAATTAGATCCCTGGATATCTAAAACGTAAAAATGACTTCCAGAAGAGAAGATTTCATGACTGATTTATACATATAAATTACAGCACACAAATTTACCATGCATTCGCTATTTTTCAAGTTCGAGAAAACTACATACATGTACTTAATCATAACCAATAATACTAACCACCCACAGGAAACAAAGGAAGATAATGTACTGAGCAAACGAGAAAGGATAAAATTCTAAGTAATTTATGCATCATTCTATATGCTTCTTTTAATTGATTATTAAAAGTACAAGAAAAAATAAAATTACTTTTTACGAAAATGACATCAGAAGATAAGATAAAAATGCAGTGGTGTATTAGCCATCTCCTTCAAGAATTCAAAATGACCAGCAATAACAGAAGTTTGTTAACATCAAAATTTTAGTTTAAATAAATGAATCCCTCTTACTTAGGTGTTACAAAAAATGATGCAACAAATAATTTTTGCCTCCTGATTGAATGAACCTTCTTCTTTTAAATTGAACATGGAACATGGCACCGAATATCAGGATCTCCTAAAAGGTTTCAATTTTTCCTTAGTTTAGTTGAAATGTATTGGTAGGGTCAACTTATCAAGAAATTGTTACTGAGTAATGTTTTAATCTGACCATGTTCAATATATATGAGAAAAAAGAAAACATGATGTTTAGGACTTCCAATTTGATCATGAACGTATATGGCCACTCAAATGCAACAAGTGGGGTGTATCCATCAACTTGGGAAGGGGAGAAAGCAAGGAGAAATGATTTATGGCCCCCGTCGAGAACTGCAGATCACATTTTACTAAGTGTTGACATTAGTTTGTCTTCAACCTACTGAAAGTTTAACTTCATCTGTTCAACTTCGACACAGTTACGATTCTCCATTAAATTAAATAACTATGGAGCACTTACTCAACAGTGCTATTTTTAATATAAGCGGCCTTCTAATTAAGCGCACCCCCCCCCCCCCACAACTCCCAACACACACATACACCACACACAACCACGTTTGCTTACATTCACTTGCACGTGTAGAAGGTGAAATCATAACAAAAAAATATGTAAAAGGAACAAGAAAGTGTCCGGGTCAATGTGCTAAGTTTACCTTCTCAAATGAAACATTTTCTTTTGCAGCACTAAGCATTGTGACTGCATAAGAAATCAGGCCACCAACACGGGAGGGATCAATCTCACCCAATGCACGAAGTGTCAAGGCGGCTTCAACTCTTACCTAACCAAAAATTGCACTTCATGGTTCACAAGGGAAGAGACCGAGTATGAATATGAAGAATTGGATACATCAGAAAGAGCACTTAAAGTTGCTAAGCTGAATTTTAACTATTATCTTCTTAGAAACTATTCCCATTGCTTTGCAAAAACTTTGCCTAACAAATTGTTTTCCCTTGTTATCCATGGAAGGGGCTCGCAAAGAAATATAATGCGACATGTTGTCTAGCTATTGGAAAGAACCTAACACAAACCCCATTAAAGGCGGTAGAGTGAACCTAACCCTATTAAATACACTGGCACCATTAACTACATCTCTTCTTGGCCAAGAGGAAGTAGTTTCAACACAAACTCCAGTGAAAAATTATCCTTAGTCTGTTCAAGCGCTTCTACAGCCAGAGCAACAAGAACAAAACAGCTAGGGCCCATAACATTGAGAGACATCCAGGCAGCTAAAGATCACACGAAGCTGACACTTAAATCCTACATAACATACATATTTCCAAACCTTAATCAAGATGTGATAACTCAAACAAACACTTTGACATCCCAGAAATGAATATCTCGAAGTCACCAAATAAATGGAGCCCAGTAGCATGGTTATAATAGTTGATATATATATTGAATGAGTAATGATGGTTAAAATTTCTCAAATTTTGCCACACTATCTATAGCCCGTGGTGAAGTAACAAAGTTTTGCATGCTCTGCTAACTAGTTGTATGGCTATAACATAATCATTCTAAAAATTAAAAGTAAAATAATTCTGTAAAAAGTTTACTAGTGGCGAATGATGAGAAAGTGCCGCAACAACTGTGTCATCAACGACTTCCTTGAATTCAAGTGGAACCTGTAGTTGAAAAATTGAAGCATTATTCGTGTAAGGTATATTTGCAATGAAATCCATTTTAAGCAACGCAATCCCAGAAACTATGTAATTATTTAGCTTTGACCAATGAGTAACAAGCCTGAACATACAAGTGAACCATCGTGAAACTATGTAAAGCAATATAAGCAAAATCACCTCTCCAAGTGTTCTCAAAACATATGAAAGAGTTCGTAAAGCAGCTACTTGCATGGAAGGGGTGGAATCAGAAGATACAAGCTGCAGAAATTGTTAATCTTAAGTCACCAATAATGAAACAGCCAATAAAGATATTAAACCTTGGTTGGACCGTGTACCATACCTGCTTCGCAAGAAAAACCGAAAAGCCTCTCTGAGTTGGTTCACTCATTTGATCAGTTATACCAACTCGCAAGATATATAGTACACAGGCCTTCAAACGAGGGAGAAGAAACATATCAGGAGCTTAATTTCGTAGATGCCGGCAGATGTACAAGAAAACACTTACTCATAAGACAATAATAGCTAAATTTGTAGATGAATACCAAGAATTCCATCATTAGACTGGATTACATAATTGAGAAACATTGAAACCTACAAACTCAGCTCTTCCAATAAATCATATAGAATCTTCTGTAGTGATTGGTGATTACGTTATAAGAAAATGTTTAACTTCCACCCATTGGAAAAGAAGTTTCTACAGAACAGGACCATCAGTGTTTACAACTGGATAATTAATAGATCCTCATGAGTTCCGATATTGCTTAAAGTCGTACCGTGATATGATATTAAGTTCATTTGTTACTTCATATCTACCAAAGAAGTCCCAGAGCTTAGAGGTGAGTAATTGTCAAGCCAAATTCGAAACCACTCATGCTTAATATGCGTAACCTACTTTGCTCACATATATAGATTACTTTCACATTAAGAGAAATGGATGAATTCAGTGCACCCAAGGAGTATTTTGGTTTTTGCAAATAAATTTGATTAACGCGTGTACTTCCAGACAAATACTTAAACAGTTGCTCATTGTTTATTTATGTTTATAGTTTCAGGGTTAATAGGTATAGTTCACTCAGAACCACTTGTTATGTGATACGGTACTCATGCGTTATTTTTTAGCTTTTCTCCTTTTTCTTTCTTTTTTGTTTTTTTTTTTTTTTTTTTTTTGGGGGGGGGGGGGGGGGGTATATATGAAAAACCACTACAGTTCATTTGTTACTCTATATCAAGCCGCGTGTGAGCAATTCTTAGACCACAGAGCCAGGTTTCATTTGCTAATCTTTTTTGCATGATATTCTTTTTCGCTTATCTATTCAAGTTGAGACTCTATACCTGATTGTAAGGAAATAGAATGTAACTATAAGCAGAGTGAAAAGCTATGTTCACTAATTGTAATGCCAAAACTAGCATCACAAGAACTACATGAGTTAAAAGAAAATACCAGTGCTTGAGCATCAACCAATGTATCTGACCGAAGCATGTCCATAACTTGTAAAGCGTAGTTTTGCAGTTCGATATCTGGATGGAGATACTTTAAACACATAGCCTGCAGATACATGATGTGAAAATAATCAAAAATGAAAAGTTAAAATAAACAATTAGGACACAGAAATTAAGTTTAATAATTCACTAGTCAATAATTAATTACAAGGTAAAAAACATCACTGAAATCACTTTTTCATACAATTTTTTTTTATTTTTAATAGTTTTGCACCAATTCTTACATCTATTGTATTTCAATCTTGGACTTTATTTTTTGCTCGTGTTTCGTAGTGGAAAGTAAATATATTTGAAAAAACATAAGGGGTTATATTTGTAATCAAAAGGCGTCAACATATCAGCAGAGGCTGATATATTTGATAAAACAGAAAGGAGCATATTTGTGGTCAAAATGTGTTTGACATATCAACAGAGAGTGAGGAGTCGTGGGCATATCTTTTATTTTCTCACTCAACAGAGTGTCATAAATTTTCATACATGACTTCATAATCGCCCATGGAAGAAAAGTCCTGTTACACTGCCATAGCTTGCAGAAACTGAGAAGTTTCAGCATTTTGGACTGAGTGGACAACCCTACTGTTGCACCACAGGTAGCTTGTCATGGTGACTATTATATGAGAAAAGGAAAAGGAAAAAGGGATTTTTTTTGTCCAGAACAAAAAAGAAGGAAATTACGGAGACCCAACAACTAACTGCAGAAACGAGTTCAAGAACAAATATCTTTCCATCTCTCTATATTTAATAATACAACAAATTCATCGAGCGTGAAACAAATCAAACATGTCACTGTTAATAGTTAATACCAAAACATCTCATTACGACTAGGTATATCCTTTTCTATTCGTGGAAAGAGAAAACATGAATCATGTTCAACTTGTTCACTACCTGTAAAAAGCAGACCCATGACAAGGAGATGCCAACCCTCCTGTCCTTCAAACGAGGTCCGCCAACTGCAAGTTAACCACTGATCAGAAGTATGGGCTGAAATAAAACTTAGCAATGTGAAAAGGTAGCAAAACATAAAGGTTTAAACCACCTAAATTTCTGATGACCAATTGAATACCAATACACTAAACCAGCAAATTAGGGGAAAAGGACAAAAGTCTAATAATTCCTATACCTCTAATCTGCTCCAAATCTTTTACATTAATTTTCCATGAATAACCTCGAGACCTGTTTTTATGCTAAATGGATTCATTCTCTTCTGAACTACGTATCTATGTAGGTCTATTTTAAATTTTATGGTTCTAAGTTCTCACATCATATTTATCAGGCTTCAATTTTATTTTAACAAAACAATAAAAACTCATGAGTTCTTTTCTTACTTTAAGCATCATTTAAGACCTTTCTTGTTCATTGTTCTTTACACCTTCACTCGGTTCATATTCCACATATTTCCTAATTGATCTGTAACATGTTGACTTATTTTCCTAACATTAAATGCGAAAATTCACTGGCGTAACACCTGATGTCTAGGGAATCATGATCCACTTCAACACCAGCTACAGTATCCGTTAAAATATGCAGAATGTGAGGAAATTCGCTGCATAGTTTATAAAAACGACAAACAGTCATCTCTAATTTTTATTATCAAACACGTATACTAACAAGCTAATAGTAGCAAAATGCCTGATTTTGCACTTAATTGCACCTTTTGTAAATGGGTTAGCAAAGTGCTTCTGCAGACCCCCTTCTAGCTTCTTAGGAGTAGCATGACCTTTTCCCTTTGGTTGGACCTAATACATGATGATAAAGCTTCAGATTAACATAGCATAGATTACAGCGACTTGAAAAGATAAAATCATACCTGTGCCTCAGGATTCATTCCAAGAGCCAGCATTGCTCCTAAAGCTTCAGCAAAAGCATCCCTCACAGATTTAACTGGGTCTTCAAGGACCTGTGACAGAATAATTTGAACGATAACTATTAATATCTACAATAGGAGGGTTTTGGTGATACCTAGAAGCACAGATGGAACATGAAAACTTAAGAACCTTGACACAATAAGACAAGCAACTCTCTAGTTCTCCAATCCCTAAGCCTGGCCCTCCAATATTTGCAAATGCCTTCAGACATCTTGCAGCAGCTATTCTGACACTCAAAGATTTATCTCCAACTCCTGTTCGCATGATTATGCGGAACGCCTCCACATATGCTGCAGAAGCAGCACTCCCTTCAGAACCCTCCAAAGCATTGCAAAGCATGTGCAAAGCCTCTTGTCTCACAAAATCCTAAGGCAACTGGTCATTAGACTAGGATATATACATATTTGATATGTGTGTGTGTGTGTGTACATCTTCATAAATTCATTTTGAGAATAATCAGAGGGGTGAAATTTATGTCGAGCTCTGTTTACAACATTTTGTTAACAGAAATCTGAATGCACAATATTCCCTTAATAGACTTTATGAACTGCATTATCAGCCAATAGAGCAGTCACATATAAAGGATCTATGATTTGAGGGGGACATTTTGATTTGTATCGCGTTGTTAAACCAACTTTCACTAATGGGATGAAAAAGAAAACAACCTGATATACTTCATATGCGAAAGGTAACCTCCAAGCTTACACAAAATTATACTAATTTACCAGATCTTTTTTAGAATTTTATGATCCCAGTCTTCTGTTAAATCATTAGATATTCATTCTCGTGGCCTCAATCATTTAACATAAGAGATAAACTGGGGGTAATCTACTAGAATAAAAGAATAATGTGTCAAAGGGGAGAAAATTGAGTAAATACACGATGATATAGGAATTTGAATACCTCAGTAAATTTGAGTAGCTTCCCAACAATATTAGTTGTTTCAAGTAATCCAGAAACAATTCGTCTCCCAAAATATCGATACAATTCTCCCAAACATTGAGCAGCACCTGCGCAAGCAGCAAAAGGATAAAGTCAATTGTTGCCAATGACTTTAAACCCTCAACAAGCACACATGCAGAGAAGAAAGAAGCTATAAGGTGCCTTGTTTTTAGAAAATTAGTTTGCAAGATAGAAAAAGCAGCTTGCTAATGATTATGAAATCTATGCTTATAGGCAACCATAAATATTTTGTAGGCAACCATAATTATTTTGTAGGCAACCATAATTATTTTTATAGGGGAGTATTGGGTTTCTTTCAGATTCGAAATCCAGGACATCAGGTTGGAAAATACATCAGCCAACTCAACGCATAGCACATTATAGATTTTTTTTTTCTTTTTTTTTTCCTTTTCCGGAAGCCACTCTATAGGCTAAATAATCCGTTTCGTGTGTGGCTTCCAGGAAATGTGAACTTTAAATTCTCAGTTATTAATCTATCATAACATCTACAAAATTTTGAGGCATCTAGAAATCAGATTAAGAAGGAAATTTCTCATGAAAGGAAAACCCTTTATACTCGATTTGATATATGTTCTATTGGAAAGCTCATAGAACAGTAACTGCAGTTCATCCTCGCCAAAGCAATTAATCAAATTCTCATATATTATACCTATGAAGATGCTTTCCCTTTTAAGTTTCACAAGCCCTGTGTGTAGTATTCACCATCCCTCCTTTCACTTTATAAAGAAAACTAATCAGTTTTGCTATCCTACACCAAGTATATTTCTAATTACATGTTCTGTATCAAGTTTTGGCACAATTCTGAGTGAAGTTTCTTCGGGTCCTTTCCCCTTATTCTCAAATTTCAGTTATCAAGAGCTAAAGGAAGATTTTATCTGTATACACACATATATTGTTCAACAAATAAGCATAATTGTAATTGTGAGGGAAGTACACCGTACTCCTGACGAAAATAATAGAAGAGAGTAATCATGCAACAAATGACAGTATTATCCTCACCCTTGATAATACATCAGAATCCAAAATAGTCAAGTATAAGATGTTACCCTGTATAGACTTATACAATTAAAAAGAAACAAGCCATCTTTAAGCAGCCTATGAGATATGGTAGAAAGTGGCAGAGTGTCATTCAATGGACAAACACTAGTGAAAGCAGCAACTGTAGAAGAACAATAATTAACCTAATGAAACCAGATTGACAGATGTTAATTGCTCCAAGAAACATCTAAAGCCTCATTGAACAAAAACAATCTCAAAGATACTTGGAACAATTAACAGTAAATAATATCGACAGTCTGTAAGATACTATACGTGTACGAACCGGCAACTTTCTGAGCCTCACTCTTCTTGCCATCAGAAAGGAACCCCTGAAGGCTGCTTGCTCTAGAGTATATCGAAATCCCATCACCCTTCAATATAAGTTTTGCCATTGCAACTGATGCTAAATGACGCACAGGCCTACGAGCTCCAAGCACCAGTAAAGAATAGAGTGTATCCTCACATTTTCTTTGCCACAGCAGAATGGAGTCCTAAAATTCGTAAACTTGTGATCAGAATTTTTTTACATTTTTCCGACATACCAGAAAGAAAGGAAAACTCGGCAAAGTAAATGGACCGAACAATAATTCGTCATACAGAAGAAAATGGAAATTATTACTAGTTACTCCAGTAAAAGACCATAATCCAAATGAAGATAATAAAAATTACAGCAGCATCGCCAACATCATCCAGAAAAAAATTGCACAACTCGCATTCCCAAATAAATGCTCCAACTAACATCCTAGATGTCGTTATACAGAAACCAATGCCGAACGACCGAATGACGAAAACTGGACTGTGTGGATCTTTTACTTTCTTTTGAACCAATTAAAACTAAAACAATTTCCCAGGAATCATCAAAATGAACTTCAAATTGAGAATCAGAATGTTGCCAAATTTCCCTCTGCAATTAATATCAGGCATGAAACTTAAACTATATAGATACCAAACAGTAAAATGAAGTTCGTTGAAAGGCATGGTTAAGCCCGACCATTCACGAAGATCACCATATAAACCAAAACAAAACCTCTGCCGCCGCGACATTCGTTATAGAATAACTGAACATGAGTGAGTGAGACAGAGGAGAGAGAGAAAACACGCAAATTTCAATACCTTGGGCTCCTCTTGAATGGCGGAGATGAGATCAGATAGAAGGTCGAAGCAGAGAAGTGGGTCCGGCGGCTTGTGAGCGGCGGAAGCCACGATTGATTCGAGTTGCGCCACCAGCACGCCGAATCTCGACAATTGCACGTTCTCTCTAACGTAGTTCCTCGCCATTTTTTTTCCGAGCAAGTGTACGGCCGTGGGTGTAGAAATGGCAAGTCCGGTTACTCGGAATTGGCGGTGGTCACTGGTGGTGGTTTTATTTTAGTGGGGATCTGAGCGGAGCGGTGGTGTTTGGTAACAAGGACACAAAATAAATGCTTAAATTGGTTGGAATAGTTTCACTCCTATTATTTGACCATTTTCCTTTCAAATCAAACACTAAAGCGGCTATAAATCTAAATTGAAATCGAAATCGAAACCGAAACCGAAACCAAAAACCCCAATAAAATCACTTTTGCCCAAAATTATAGATTTATAAGTTTAAATGAAACTTCAGATAAAAATAAAAAAATATATATATAATAAAAAAAAGTAAATAAATATTGCTTGATTTTTTGACATTAATTTAATATTAAAATAAATAATATGATATTGTAAAACTTATTCCTATTTTGATTAACCTTTATACTTGTATTGAAACTTTTTTCTCTTTACAATTTAAATAAAACTAGAAAATCAATATATATATATATATATATATATATATATATATATATATATATGGGCAATCCCCACCTTTTTAATTTAGGGATAATTAGCAATACCCCCTCATCTAGGTAAATGAATTAAGAAAATCCCCCTCCCAAAAGAAATTAGAGAAAACCCCCTTATCTAATATTCTACCCAAATATTATTTAATAATTCTCAAACCACCCTTATTACCCTAACCCATTGCCTGCCGTTCTCTCTTCTTCTTTTGTCGTTCCTCTTCTCGTCTTCTCACTTTTCTCTTCTCTTGGCAATTACCTCTGCCATGGATTATCGGTTAGAGGAAGATGCCTTTGTATTCGTCACCCAACTGGCCATGGAGGTGGTGTTCTTCGGATCTGGCTACAAGCGGCGGCCGAAATCTTCAGATCTGAAATCTCCGGCGATCTGGTGGACGAAATCTGAGGAGGAGGAGGGGAAATCGTCTGCGGCGGAGTGCATATCGGTATGTTTTCGGGAACTTTGAGCTCCGTTTCTTCCTTGTCGTCTCTCTTCTGGGCCATAGATTCGGCCGGGATGAAAGGTGTTCTAGAATATAGAAGTGGGATGGTGATGCTGTGGTGTGACGACGATGAAGAACAGATCTAGGGTTTTTTTGGTGGATTGTGGCGGAAGACGGCGCAGAAAAAAAAAATCGCGCATCAGGGCCCTTAATTGACTACGTGGTTTAATCGACTATGTTCAATAGTCGATTAAGGCTTAATCGACTATGATCAGTAGTCGATTAAGGTTAACCGACTCCAGTTGTTATTTTTTTGTTTTTTTTTTTTTGATTTTTTGTTTATTGATTCCAATGTATAAATCAATTACAATGTTTGTATATTTTTTTTAAATATAGTTGATTTTGCATTTTTTTTGTAATTGTGGTTTGTTATTTTTAATAGCTAAAATTTTAATTGACTATGCATTTAATAAACCTGATAGAGAAAAAATTAAAAAAAAAAAAAAATTAAAAACAAAATTAGAAACAAAAAAAAAATTAAAAAAATAAAGATTTTCCTTAATCGACTATGAAGCATAGTCGATTTAAGACTAATCGACTATGCTTCATATTCGATTAAAAAAACGGAAAAAAAAAAATCCTGGAGCGCTGACCCAGTGATGAGATGGCGGGCGGGGGTAAAGCTGGAAAATGTAATAACTGAAAATGGGTGTGGACTTTTCTCAAATGGACTAAAATATTTTGGGTCTCCCTCAATTAAAAAAAGTAGTGAGGGGGTTTTCTCAAAGAGCCCCTTTAGTTTAACAAATTTTCATTGAATTAGTAAATCCAAAGATATTAGATAAAATAAAAAATACATTACAAACAAAATGAAAGAAAAACAAGGCTAAAATGAAAAGTTGCACAATATTGAGTAAAATAACCATGAAAGGAAAGACAAAGTTATAATATCCATAATAATTGACATCCATCATTTTCTCTTAATAAGGCATTGAAGATATAATAAGCACAAGATTGAGGCTGTTAATAAAACTAGTAAGAACATTTGTGATGCCGAATCGCAATAAAAATTGATCTACTAAAACATTTACGCCACAAAATAACACGACGTATTCCCGATTTTCTCGCATTTATTTTGCACATTTTTCTTCACGCATTCATCCCGAAGAATGAACTCAAAGGCTTAAAGACGACCCTTTTCCTTCCTCTTGAAGCATGTATTCTTTCTTCATCTTCTCCAATACCGAGTCGTTTGTGCTACAAAAAAAAAACGAACAAGAGAAAACAAGTTTAGAGATAGGCTATACACATATGACATATCCAATGCAACCATAAGTTTCCCATCAAACAAACGCCATAAATATTTCTACACGTTTTTCATAAACAAGACCATTGAATTGGCCGCAGAATAATTAACACATTCCAATTATCAGTGGATATCATAGCTTACCTGGTCGGAGTCTTCTGTATGATATGTTGCTGTCTTAAAATTAAACCGAAACTAAATACTATTTATAATTTGTAATAAGAAGGTTAGCAGCTCAACAATTGCCGCATTGACGAATTACCATATAAATAAGAGAGCTACCCGTGCCAGCATTTTATATCATTCTTATCTTTTTTTTCACCTATTAATTATTTAAATTTGCTTTTTTAAGTTACCTTTGTTCGGGTGGGATTAAAGGAACTTAGAAGTAACTAACTGTATCATATATATTCAATTGCATTCTTTATAAGAACCAGGGAATATAGGGTTTGTAAATCTATAGGTGTGTACGCATCTGCAGAACAAATCGGCTGTGATATTTAATTCATATTAGCTTCACTGAATGGTTTCGTAAAATCATGACCTAACAGTATTGCTAATTTTGCCTGTGAGAGATACACATTTTTTAAAACTGCGCGGATCTTGAAAACCATAAGCTGTGTGAAAGATTTAATTTTATTTTCTTACTTTTAAGGTCTTAATAAACTCCTTTTTCATAATTTTGACCACAAAATTGTCATTTCTAATACGAGGTCTGTGATCTTATTATCTCCAAACACTTACGAATTAACATTTTACAAGATATAGGAGTTTATAAGATCTTTTCAATAAGTTGAGGTAAGTTGTATTTTTTTCCATTCACTACTTTATTTTTTCATTTGGAAAAGAGACGACTTGGAAACGGGCACAGAAATATACCAATTTTCGCTCCCTTAGCTACTGAGTTGGGGAATTTGGAAAAATATTTTTCATTCATGGATATCAAATAAGAATATAACAAAACGGATTTTCTCAGAACATTTCGATGAGCATCCGAGTGTTGTACCTCCCTCCCCCGACCCGTAAAAACGAAAAGCAAAAAAATACAAAAAATAAAAAAACTTAAGCAAGTAATTAGATCAAACATTGGGACAGAAAATGTAAGGCTTATTATGAACGGAGTAAAATCTGAAGAAAGTAAACTGAAAGAAAGTAATAAGATGAAAACTTACAATTGATGGAGGCACTCATTCAGTTCATTAGCTTGTTTGCGACATTTCCAAACAACAGAGAGTGTTCTGCCCATAGCACATTCGGCATATCTGGTCGTGTAGTACTCACATTCTTTCAAAGCCTTATGCTTCATTTTACTGCGCAAAGCTGATATTTTGATGAACAATTATTAGCATCCTAAAATTAGTAAATTCAAAACCCCCCAAACAATTGCATAAACTATCAAAATATCTGATCTTTGCCATCTCTACACTTAGCATAAACTATAATTCGATTCTCATTAACAGAAGACATAGCCCAAAAAACTACTGTATGGATAAGAAGTAGATAATATGATGAAGAACGAAAGCAGAACTCCAAAGAAAAATACTAATAAAGCATAAGCACGAAAGAACCTTCAAGTGTCGCATCTCAACAAGGGCAAGAGAGAGAGAGAGAGAGAGAGAGAGAGAGAGAGAGAGAGAGAGAGAGAGAGAGAGTCTTTTAATTAAGTTCTCTCCACCTCAATCGAGATGTTAGACTGTTATACTTCTCAAGAAGATTATAAAAGAAAATAAAGATTCAAATAGTAAATAGCAATATTATACACAGACAATTCTTTTTCAATGGTATTACATTATTATACAGACCAAGTACATAAAATATTTCGAATTTGATACAGATTCAGGCAATCGAAAACAAATTGAAAAGGTTCATTGCCACATTTGACTGAAACATTTCCTTACATTAAAAAAACCGAAAAACAATAAAAAAAAATCATTTTTCTTGCCAATGAATACCCAAATACCAGTAATAAATTAGATGAAATTCGCAGCAATTTAGGGCACCTTTCGATCAAAACGCATCACATTCTTTCGCAATTGCTTTCTTAGAATTGAGATTGATGTCTAGAGTACATGATTTAACGATGAGAACAAAAGATAAAGCGATTGTGATTCAGTCAGCAATGCACCCATACATATAAGCATAATCCGATGAAACGCAATGAATAAATAGGGTTTAATGGGGGTTTTGGGAATTTGAATTTAATCGAAAACATTTGCACCTTCTTCGACCTTCTTCTTGACGTGATTCTCTCTGGCTTCTTGTACGTATCCCATTTTTGCGGATTCACGAAACGATTCTCAAAACGCCTCACTCACACTTGTGTGTGCGCCTGTGTATATAGTACAGTAGTTTGCTCGATACGGAGTACAGTTTTTCTTCCACTCCCTCCTTCAACCAGAAGTGTACTGTACTGCGGGCACGTGCAATTTAAGTCTCCGTGGTCTTATTTTAGGGTAAATTACACTTATACTCCCAAGTTAAACTAAAAATAACTTTAAGGTCTATTTAGTATCGATAATTATTTCGTTAGCGTTCTAACGGGCTATTAGTTTCAGACAGGGTGGACACAACATAGAGTTAGAGTTAGGTGGTGACACGACTCTCCTAACATTTCTTAAATCCGAGATAATTACTGTTTTGGTCCTTGTATTATGCACTATATTCGGTCCATAAACTTTATTCTGGCACAAAATTAGTCCTTGAGTAACCAGTTTTTTTTTTTACAATTTTCGTCCACCGTTTGAAATTGCGGTTAGTTTGGAGGAAAAAATCATCATGTGGGGGACACATGACAATGCACATTAACCCCTTCTCTAAATCTATACTGTTAATTTAATCTTAATGTCACTTTATTTTTACAGTTTCAGTCCAAATAAAATTAATTTTGAGAAATGTACTAAAAATGTGAAATGACAAAAATACCACGTGAGGGTTTCTAGGAATTAGCACATTATATTTTCTTCACAAATTATTATTTATTTCTTTATTTTAATTTTTTTAATCGAAAACACTATAACTAATTTGATTATACCAAATTTTATTAAAGAGTGTTTCATATTTTATAAATATATTTTATTTCATTATTTTTAATTATTAATATGTAAAAAATAATTAAACATGTATTATAATTTCAGAAATATTGTTTTTAGTCGTTAATACAAGAAAATCGACTTTTCTAATCATATAATTTTTATTGTATTTTTATTATTCTCTAATAAAATTTTAATTCTATTTCAATTATAAATAAAATTGCCAAAAAATAAATCAACTAAAATTCATTTCAATTAAAAAAAAAATTGACACGTATGTATAGTTCATGACTCGACGGCGGATGTGAAAAGGGGAGACGGGGCGGGGCGGGGCGGGGCTGGGGCATTCAGAACAATTTTATTAGGATTTGATTTTTTTGGACGACTTTATAGTAATAAAGTTAAATTGAAGCTAAATAGAAAATATAGGTAAGACAATTGGTAAAAGTGCATGATTACATATCTCGTACGTGACTTTTCCGTCCAAATTAACAACACTTTCAAACGGTGGTCGAAAATTGTCAAAAAATTGGTTATTTGAGAACCAATATCGTGCCAAAAAAAGTTGAATGGCCAAAATTGACAACTGTGTATACTATAGTGACCGAAATT